TATGGTGCACCTGTAGAAGGTCAGGATGCTCTCTATGGTGCACCTGTAGAACGTCAGGATGCTTTCTATGGTGCACCTGTCAAAGGTCAGGGTCAGGATCCTTTCTATGGTGCACCACTTCTACAGGTGCACCATAGAGAGTATTCTGACCTTCTACAGGTGTAGAAGGTCAGAATACTCTCTATGGTGCACCTGTAGAAGGTCAGGATCCTCTCTATGATGCACCTGTAGAAGGTCAGGATACTCTCTATGGTGCACCTGTAGAAGGTCAGGATAAGAAGAGTGACTGCTGCTTCCTGTAGTCCACAATCAGCTCTTCAGCTTTGCTGACACTAATGGCGCTTTACCACTGCAGCACGTAGCACGGTTTAAGCGGGCCGGGCCAAACCCGGACAGCTTTTTTTTGCTTTTCCACTAGGGGTAGTTCCGGCTCAGGGCAACTTTTTCACCTTTTTTTTGGCAAGACGGCAGGCGAAAAACTTTTTTAAATGTTCTGAATGGAGATCGGATCGACCAGGCTAAGCTAACGTTGTATATCCCCGTCCACACTCACAACAACGGCCTACAGACATAAATAAACCAGCGACTGTATTCGCCATGACACAGACAGTCTGTGGTTTGTAGTTGTTTAACTGTTGTCTAGTTTCTGAACAGATATGAGGAGCTGTGAGCTCTGAGTGCTAACGGCTGATGTTGGTTTTGTGGTTCGCATTGAAGATGACGTTACGGCAGTTTTACGCAGCGTCGCTCCGCCAGCCGATCGCCCCGCCAGCCGATCGCCCCGCCAGCCGATCGCCCCGCCTACACTGCGTTACTATAGTTACTACCCCAGTTCCTAAACTGTAATGGAAACGCAGCATAAAGTGAGCCTGGCCTACCAAGGCCTAACCAGAAAGGCAGCTCTGGCTTTTTATTTGACTTGTCAGTTGAAGTCTAACAGGAAATGTTTGTTTGCACTATGTCTTTCTTTAACACGATATGCCGTTTGTTAGCTTTATGCTGAATCATATTTGGCTCCAACTCATCAGGAGAAAACTTCTAAATTAGCCGCGTTCACACCAAGTACTTTCCTGTACTTAGTTCCGGCACTAAGAGCCCTGGCGCTTTTAACCCCAGGGTACTTAGTACAGATCGCGTTCACACCGGAGTACTTTTCCCTGAGGGAAGATTACAAGTACAGTAGGTGGCGGTAAGCACCTTAAAGTTGTTTGCAACCCGCTACAAAACAAGAGAAGAAGAAAAACTGATACAGGATCTGTTTAATCGCCATGTCGGTTTTCTTTATTGCACTCTCAAGACATAACATTAAATATTTTAAATGTAACTAAAGTGTCAGTTGTACATGTCAGTAAACATTGTCAATATAAAATAAAGTGTCAGTTGTACTATATAATAACAGTAATAACAATATAAAATAAACTCCCAGCTGTAGGGAGTCTCAGCAGCAAACCCACCTTTATTATATATCTTCCTGAGACCCACTGCATCCGTCTGCCATAAACACTATGCAAACATACATGTTAGTTTTGGCCCATAGTGGACTCCATGTTGTGTTGTGTGAAATGGGGGGGAATTAAAAGTTTAGGTCAAATAATATTTAAAATGATATAAATTGTCATATTTGTGTATGTGCCCCTGCCATTCCCCCACAAGGTTGCAACATTGATGATAAATAAATGACAAATAAAGCTTTGCCAGTTTATAACCGATGAAACATGATGGTATCAGAATAATCACTTACATGTGATGTATAGGATGCTACACAGGTCACAAAAGATAAAGTGTCAGGAGAAATAAGCTTAATCGCCATGTCGGTTTTCTTTATTGCACTCTCAAGACATAACATTAAATAGAACAATTTTAAATGTAAATAAAGTGTCAGTTGTACATGTCAGTAAACATTATATATAAAATAAAGTCATAACAGTAATAACAATATAAAATAAACTGTCCCAGGTGTAGGGATATTCTCAGCAGCATGCACACCTTAGTGCAACGTTGTGTGTCGTGTGTCAGTATTTACAAAAACTATACCAAATAAACTGTTATTAAATGCAGTTTGTCGCTCATCCTGCCGCTGCGCCGACGCTTCCTCATGGCGCAGCGCCCACACTCTCATCCTGGTGCTGCTGGCGCTCCATCTGCTGCTTGAACACTTCTGCCTGGCGCTCCATCGAGGTGAGCATCTTGTCCTCCGTTTCCTGGGCCTTGGTGAACAGCACCATCTGATCTCCACGCAGCGACTCATTCACCACGGCACGCCGGTCCTCCAACGCCTGGGCGGTGTCAAAGAAATTCGCATCCCGTGTCCGCTTTCCTAAGAGGGGAAAATAAGCAATATACAATATACAAGTTTAGTCGCCATGTAGTTTTACAACATACTAGGAATGTGTTTTTTGTATTTTCACAAATAGAATTAAGGTTTCACAAATCTGAAACTGTGTTATAAAGAATGTTTAGACCCTCTGGGATAATCCAGTCCAAATAAATCGGCTATGCAGCGATTTAAGAGGTTCAAACACGGAGGATTGTTCCTTTTTGAAGAGTGCTTCATGTATGCTTGAACTTTGTTTAATGTTGTTGAGGCAAGTTAAACATAAAATATGATGAATATTATGAAATAAACATGATTGTGAACATCAGTTCGATGCGCAACGTTCTTTCAAGACAAAGTTACAGTGTGTGTGTACTGTGTGCTCGGGGCCGGTGTTAGCCTATTATGGCTAGCATGGCTAGCTTGATCTACTGAGCAAATAAAAGTACATCTGAGACCATTATTGTGCAGATTAAAACCCCAGTGCATGTAGTTGATTTTACCTTCGTCGTCATCGTTGGCCACTGAATCCGCCGTTTGTAGTCCTGCCCGAGTTTCTTTATTTTTAGCCGGTGTGCCGTGGGGCTGTGCACATTCCCAGGTCGAGTGAAAGCTACTGAACTGGCTTCAGTGCATTCCCTGGGTCGCGTCCTCTGCGTAGATCTCCAGAAGCGCCGACACCTCCTCATCATTTCTTGATGCTTGCCATAACTGCTTTCAAAAACAAACACAACGCACGGAGCGTTGTGTTTTTGTAGCGAGGAAAAACAATGGCGGCTCTACACAACATTTTCAGAGTTGTACGGGCGTGGTTTGCAATTCGCCCAGCCAATCAGCACTGGGGCACTTTTGGAGAACTTTTCACCCACAGAAAAGTACGCTCTCTGAGTTGGCTCTAAAAATGGGGGTAAAAGTACCCGAGATTAAGTACGATTTTTGGTGTGAACGCGACTCACGGAACTAAAACGCGAAAAGTACGGTGAAAGTACTCCGGTGTGAACGCGGCTATTGTCAACTTTCCAGGAACAAAGAGGAGCAGCTTGTTGCAGTTTTCAGCTTATCCGGCATGTTTTGATTTTCTTTGTGTAGCATTTATTCTGAAAAGAAGAAAATAAAACCTTTAAAACTGTTAACCTGTTACGCACGGCCCCCCACGGTACCGGGCGGATAAACGCGTCATTTGCAGGAAACAACGTCTAAGGAATCTTAATATTTAATAAAACTATGAATGTTTTATATCCATGTAACGGGAAGAAACTCAGCTAACTGATCTTTTTAATTTTGTTTTCCAAAAAAAACCCACAATGCTAGCACTCAGCCTCTGAATTAGCCACGAGCGAAAAAATGTAACCTAAAACGGCACTTAAACTCACAATAACTCCCTTATTACTTATCCTAGATGCACAGCCAACCACTCGTTTTTGGTGTCCTGGAGACACTGAATCTAGTGGTGCCCACGTCAACACTCAGTGATAAACATTTGCGACGCTATAAACGAAAGCGTACATCATAACATGTGGAGCTAAGTAGCTAGAAACGCTAACATGGCTTACCTTGTTCAAAACTGGTCTTCAATGGCATTAAAACGATAGAAAAACGATGCTGCAGTTAATCCATAGGTTCATCCAATGTATGTGTGCCCTCTTTGAAATTATTTCTGATAATCCATAAGCAATAAAACTGCTTTTTTGTTTCCAAATGCCAGAGCTAGAATGTAGCTCCACTCTGCTTTACATTTACATGTGCGCAGCCCCCACCTTTTCTCTTCACAATGAGTGTGTGTGTGGGCCTCCCCCTTCGATTCTATTGGCTCTAACGGTCAGAAAGAGGTGTCAACCATCAAAATCGAGCAAGGGGGGCCAGAGATATAGAAAAAAAACCATTTTCACCCAAATCACCTCAGAGGTGGGGTGGTTTTGGCTAAACCTCTCTAAAAAGGTCAAATGTCACTTGTTTTGCATCAATCTTGATACAGGGTACTTATTATATGTTGTACTTTGGACTCCTAAAACTTTTAGTCTACTAACCCATCATCCAAGGGTAGTTTTCACTATCTGTAAAAAATAATTTTTGGACGGACACTATAATTTACAGTTTTTTACTATGTAAAATCTGAATTTTCTTTAAAATAAAAAACATTTATATTGATTCTGACACTTCTACATCCAACTCACAGATGTAACCTTGCTTTGATAAAAGAAATTATTCATATAACCCTTTTAGAAGTTAAGTTGTAGTAATTTGTTTTGGGCATGTCATTTTCTAGCCTGAAACATGAAAAACAGGCTTGGTGCTTAACAGGTTAACCGCCTCTGATAAAAGCCAAAAGAAGCCTGGTTTTACATTCAAAGCAAAAGTGATGAAAGTACTTCACTTTTGTTGGTTGTTGGAGCTAAATTGTGTAAACCACAATATAATTAATAGATCAGTTAATTGAAAATGCAGTTATCAACCTTTTAAACGTGTACATTTCCTGCTTACTTACTGACAAAACAAAACAATTAAAATATCACCTTGGACTTTGAGGAATAATTGACATATTTGACAAATTTCTGAAGTTTTTTGACTATTCAAAAATGTGGGGAGGATGACATTTTTTTTGAAAAAGTGAGTTAGAGATATAGTAGTGGCAATGTTGTCCTTTGCTGATTGGGTTTGCTTCTTTCTTTTCAATCCAACCCTCCAGATGGCGAAGGCAGACCAGCGTTTTGGCCAGCGGGACGGCTCTGACCAGAACTTTGACTACATGTTCAAGCTGTTGATCATCGGCAACAGCAGTGTTGGGAAAACCTCCTTCCTGTTCCGCTACGCCGACGATTCTTTCAGTAACTCTTTCGTCAGCACTGTTGGCATCGACTTCAAGGTGAAGACTGTATATCGAAACGAAAAGAGGATCAAGCTGCAGATCTGGGTGAGAATGGGAGGGTTTATGTTTGTCTCATGGTTGTCAGTTGTCTTTAAACAAAAATGTATTGGTCAGGTATAGTAGAAGATTGTCGTTTTGGTTAAAATAACTAAGTTACCTGACAAAAAATTCCAAGTTTAGATGGGGTAAAAGTCCAATGTTTTTGCGACCAGCCACCCTGACCGTCACAAAAACGAGGGGTTACGTATGATAACCCTTGTTATATAAGCACAGGCGGAGCCTCTATGGTAGGCGGAGCCTACCATAGAGTCCAGTAGAGACTGGACTCTATGGGTACTACCTTATCATGCAAGCATTCACCTACTGAGATTTCTATAGAAGTAGCCGGCCCCGGGGCGGGCCTACCTGAATGCGTGCACAAGCCCACCGTATATAAGGCGGCCACGCCTCCCGTTCCTGTCATCCTACACTTCTCTTCAGCGAGCAGCATAGGACAGACAGGGCCCCGAGTAGAGGGCTCCGCCTGTGCTTATATAACAAGCAGGGTGTGTACGGGTGCTGGAAATCCTTGAAAATGCTTGAAATTGTACGAGGTGTTTTCAAGGTTTGAAAAGTGCTTGAATTTTGGGAATGGTGCTTGAATTTGGGATAAAGTGCTTGAAATTGTAAATGCTTTACTTTGCTTTTTAGATTAAAAGAAAATAAAGAAGTCGGAGCGCGCTTAATTGCTTCGCTTTACATAAAACAGCTCCGCTCCGGCCTTCCCGCGCAATGCGCGTGACCGGCAAGTGTTTTTGTTACGTGTGTGACCTGGGCATTCTGATGAGAGTGATAGATGACAGTATGCCAGGAGGTTGCCGTTTCAACGAGCGTTGGCTAGCAGAAGACAAATACAAGCCATGGCTAAGACGAGGGTCAAGCGAAGCCCAAGAGTAACCTCCTGCAAAGTGTGCAACAATAACGATGCGAGAGTCTGCGCTGACGCATCCTAAGATTTCTCAGTTCGGCTGTCTGTGAACCAGGGCTTGTTATGTTGAAACTCACCCTGGTGTATACTTTTACTCATCACTCAGCATTCATATAAAATCAATCGGCCCTGATTAGCTTCACTAATGGCAGTGCCTTCTCTCATACCCCACACACACACACACACACACACACACACACACACACACACACACACACACACACACACACACACACACACACACACACACACACACACACACACACACACACACACACACACACCGTGTATCAGCTTTGTTGTTGCTTCTGTTGAGGATACCTTTGTTGGATTTTAGTGTTGTTATTATTGGAAAGCCAGCTGCTTCCATCGGGGGCCGAGCAAACAGGTAAGAGACAAACGGAAAGAAACGATGACACACCACCATTTAACACCGGGGTAACACGCACGCGCGCACACACACACACACACACACACACACACACACACACACACACACACACACACACACACACACACACACACACACACACACACACACACCTTTTTAAAGTCTTTGCCCCAAGAGGTCTCTTTAATTGCCAATGAGGACTAGTGTATTAGTGTTTCTTCAAACTCGCTGTGTGTGTGTCAGCGAAAGAGTGAGCAAGCGTGAAGAGCTGCTGCCATGGCAACAACATTACCAATGATGATGATACAAGCTGTAGCAGAAGTCTATGTGTTTTGGTTTTCTTTATCCTCCAAGCAGCTTGTTGTTGTTATAGCAGTAATATTAAACACTAATAATACAGTAAACTAACTAACTAGTAAAACTATTAACAATAGTATAATATTATAGCCCGTTTGCCCATGGTGAGATGACGAGGCTTCATTAAAAATAAACCTCTTTTTAGTGAATTACTGAGTTTGGGCAAGTTAATAACGTTTTAATGAAGTTGACTACAGTATATTCATATTTGTCAGTGCTTTCATGTCAATTCGGCTTACATAAACATAAATGATCGTGAAGATAATGATTAAATTAGGATTAAAAATCGGTAGTGAGAGCCGTGCTGCATTCACATGAGTTCCATCATTTAATTTGAGCAGGTCTCCCTTGAAAAAGAGAGCAATGATCTCAATGGGATACACCTGGATAAATAAAGGTTTGAAATGAAATGTCCTCCCGTCGGATGTGATATAAAAACAAACCGATTATTTTTGTAGTTGTCAACTCATGTGGATTAAACCACATTTATTAGTGCTTTCACGTCAATTCGGCGAACATATGATACATTAAATGATCGTGAAGATGATGATTAAAAATCATTTGTTTGAGCAGGTCCTGATGAAAAAACAAACCGATGGTTTTTTACTTACGCCAACGTGGATTAAACAACATTATTTTGTTAAATAAAAACATGGTGATGTTTTGTAAATGATTACATGTGTCTTATTTAGCACAGAATATGATCCTATCCGTGACATATGACGCCCTCTACTGGACTCTATGGGTACTACCTTATCATGCAAGCATTCACCTACTGAGATTTCTATAGATGTAGCCGGCCCCGGGGCGGGGCTACCTGAATGCGTGCACAAGCCCGCCATATATAAGCGGCCACGCCTCCCGTTCCCGTCATCCTACACTTCTCTTCAGCGAGCGAGATACAACTGAAGCAGAGAAAGTAAGACGTTTGAAGAAGAAATAGTTATCATACCTCCATGGAGTCGCCACTTCTAGAGACCCGGGCCTGTCCTTCGTGCCCTGGCTTAAATAGCGGGCGCCGATCCCCACCACCTCTGCTTCGAGTGCTTGGGGGACCAGGATATGGCCGAGGCGGTGCCATTCACGTTCGCCATTCACGTTTGCCATTCCAGCGGGGCGGATGGCTCCGTTTGCCGTTGTCGGGCACTTCCGGGTCCGGCGTCCATGGAAGTCCACCGCCCAGGGCTGTACTTCCCCCTAGGTGATGACCAGGGTGGCGGAGCGCAGCTGCTCCCAGCCGGCAGCAGGCAGAGAGCTGAAAAGAGCTCTGCCCCGCTACCACGTGACAGGGCGGCTGCAAATAAACACGGGTGTGTTGGGCATCTCGCTCATTGCTAGAGATGCCCCCACCTCACCAGATCAAAGCGATTATTTGGCCGCAAGGCCAAATTAGTAGCTTGGTCTACGGTGTGGCCGCCACCGCTGCCTGCCGTGTGATGTCCCAGGGGGGTCACGCCGCATGGCACTTTCCAAAAGGACCGTGTTGATCTCCTGGGAGCCCCCGTGTTTACGGAAGGGCTCTTTGGATCGATCTCCTTGGTCACGTGGGTGAGGAGTAGTCGCAGCGTGGCTGCTTCTTGCTCATCCCCAGAGGAAAGAACAATGATTGCATTTATCCCAGAGTAAGAGTCATCTCTCTCCACAATGCCACATTTCCCCATAATGTCCGTTTCAAAGAGACGGCATTATGACGGGGCGTGCGCCCCTAGCACTTGGTACATGTAATAAAAACACATCTTGGGATCTTAGGCAATAGCTACTTGCGACTCTCTGTGATATCAGTGAGCAGATGTAAGGTGGTAGTTTACCCAGCATGGCTTTATAAATGAACATGTACCAATGACAGAGTCTCCGAACAGTAAGTGATGGCATACTTGCCCTGGCATACAGGGTACAGTGATGAGTAAGTGCTTTACAGTTTGTAACAAATCTCAGCGCACTGTGATAGGCGGCATCTAACTTGACACACACACACACACACACACACACACACACACACACACACACACACACACACACACACACACACACACACACACACACACACACACACACACACACACACACACACACACACACACACACACACACACACACACACACACACACACACACACACACACACACACACACACACACACACACACACACTGTATTGTATTATTGTATGAGAGAGGTTCCAGAGGCCTGTACTACGAAGCTGGTTCAACCTAACCTGGATATGTTTGAGTTAGCCGGTTGGCCCAATCCAAAACATACGCGCTCTGGCTAAACTGTACTACGACGCTGGTTATCAAGTGGATCGCTCAAGCCAGCCGTGTCCTATCTAGTTAGGTGCGCTTTCACATGAAAGGGGTAGTATTTGGAGCATTCGACCAATCTCAAACACGGACAAGCGTACTGACAGCGCAGCGTCATACTTCCTGAATGAAAAGTGAACTTTAATATTAGTCAAATATGAAGAAGTTAAACTTTAAACATCCATGACTTAAACACTTTATCCAGGATAAAAGCCACATAGCTGCACCTGCAAGGTGAATACAGCTGGTAAAAGAAAAAGTGTTTGAATGCGTACATTAACAGGTTTATGAAATCACTGCCAAGACACGAGTGGATCTGACTTTAATTAGGAGAATTTGACTCGAGTGTTTCATCAACTTAATGTGTTGCTTAAAATAATACTTCTGCATACAGTATGTGACACTGTGAGTGTTGCACGGCCAGATACGGCTCAAGAAGCTGACTCAAATAAGGAAAATACGATACATTATGATGTGATATGATATGAATGATAATGGAACACATCGACGTCTGCACTCACAGTGCCGCGGACTGTACTTAATGTTACTCTGATCCGGTTACTTATGTCGTGGCAGATATTTAAGTAAGCTTTCTTAACGCTAATATTATAATAGTTTGATTGCTCTGAAGATGGGAGGGGATATTCTATTAATTTTCACGTTCACACAGTCAGTTGATTTTGGCCGGCCGTCTTTCCTGCAACGGCAGTTTTTCTGTATTTCCTCTATCCTGTAATATGAATTGATCGCTTTAAACTCCGCACACGGAGCTCTGATTGGTCAGCAGGCGGTGCTTTCACTGAGTTGATCTCTTAGCCTGCCACCTAACCTGCTCCGGAGCAGGTTTGCCGCTCAGCATAAGTTACCATGGAAATCTAGCCTGCTAAAAAGAGAACCAGCGTCGTAGGACCGGAAAGCCCGAGATTTCCCTGAAGTTAACCGGCTAAGCGAAAATCCAGCTTCGTAGTACAGGCCTCAGGTTGAATTGAGGCGAATATTTGTAATGTTCAGAGGTTGTTGTGTTTACTAT